ACACTGTAGGAACAAGAAGACAAATATGTTTTGGACCGGAGGGAGACATTAATCTTGCAATAGCAAAATGTGTGTGCCTGCAACACTTAAATTATAATTTTGTGTGTTTATTTGTTGTATTGTAGCAAAGATCCCAACCCTTTGATTTTCTTAAGATGCATTTTTGGGAAGGGGACCTTGAGAAGTGAGTTCATTCTTGATCTTGTAAACAGCTGACCTCAATGATCATGATTGAAAGCTTCTAAATGGACCTTGTGGTGAGAGTTTAAATGGTGTTTCCGTGGTCAGGAACCTTAAAGCTGGCATTGATGAGAGGTCTGTCAAGTAAGTAAAAATTTAAAAGTGAGCATCCACATTTCTGTCAAAAGCTCCAAAACAGCCACTTAGATAAAAAAAAAAATTATAGTGAGATTGTTTTCTCAACGGATTTTGAGATGTTTAGAAAAAAAGTAAGATGCTAGTGTCTTTCACCCACACTAATATCCACTAAATAATCACATTCGTGCCTTAGTTCACACCTAAAATATCTTCAAAGACTTGTTATCACCTTTAAGTATGAGCCATATGGGAGTTAATGGTAATCTGACATTCTGACATTACGTGTTCATACTGGTAGCACAGGGGCACAGGGTGACAGAGGAGGTGGCATTGACACACTTAATGGAAATGCTGTGTGCTGTTATTTTTGCATAATAATTGTCAGGTGTGGCGACGAGGGTGACGCTGACAGTGGAAGCAGCAGAACCAGAAAAATGCATCTGTTGTAAATGTACTGTATGTCTCTCTCTCACACACACACACACACACACACAAATGAGCAGAGAAAATGGGAGAGAAAGAAAGAGAAAAGGCAGTGAAGGGGAAAAACAACAACACAGATCGCTGCAGGCAGAGATGCCGCTGTATCCATTTTTGATGAATGGATGGCTTTCTGCACACACAGAGTACTTTATTAATACTAATGGAATGATGCTATTATAAAAAAAGCATGTTGTGTCAGTTGATGGGCACAGTGTGAGGCTGAGGAGATGGAGACATCACACCCATGTAAACACCAGCAGACCTTTTAACAGCCGAGGAGGACGAGGAGAAGAAGATGAATAGGTCAGAATCTATAATGGCAGGCCCAAAGCCCAAGAGCATAAGGAAGAATACGGGTAACACTGTTTATTGTTATTAACACTGTATTTTCCTCTTAAATGTTCTCTGAAGTTACACATATAGTGTTGTTTCAGTGTGTTACAATAGTTAAATTACTGGCTCAAAACACTTGCACCATTGCACCATTATGTCAAATGGAAAATAATACACATTCTGTGCTTTAGGTCCATATTTGGGATTTTTGGAGACCACTCTGGTGGATCTTGGCTAATATTTAAATCAAAGTTTTGTGGGTTTGAATAGTGCTAAATAAGTTGAATGTTAATCTTCACCATCTGAAATAAGGAAAAAAAGGTCCAGGATTGAATAAGAAAAACATCAAACGACTGAGGAATGTCTGGTTGTTGAATAAAAAGTACCTTTTCTGTCGTCTGTTTTGAGCGTTACCAGACCAAGATTTATGTGTTCATGAAGCTACTGTTAAACATGTTTACACGAGTGTCTGTGTGTAATATTGTCTAATGTCTATTATATAGGGGACTGGGCTCACACTATAGACTTTATTAGATCATCTCTTATTCTTGTAGTCACAGTGTATGAACATGAAGATCTTCATCAAGTCATTTACTGTACAGTTTTCCTTTTTCATTTTCAAATACACATGAACCAAGTATAACCTAACATAAAATATACTGTATATACTGTGTAAATAAACATGCAAGACCCCTCTTCTCCCGAACATTTCCTCCATACAAACCCATGAAGACCAAATAACTCCCCCGAATTGACTGCCTTTCCACCACCACAATTAACATTTTGTAACACATACATCTAGTTTGTGAACTTGTTTTTATCATTTGTCAGGTCTTCAGGTTTGTGCTGTTTACAGGTTATGTATATTAGTGCAGGTATTGGATATGAGACCATATGTGTGAAACCGGTGTGTTTTGATGTTGTTTGCTTCGTGTTTTATAGTAGTTTTTAGATGTGTTGATAAAATTCTGTGATCATATTTGACTTTAATAAAGTAGCCCTGATTTGTTGTGTTTTTGACTGGTTTGAAAACTCACATAGGTGTTTTTAAAGTTATTTGGCTTGTTTCGATGTCTGACTACACCCCACATATTTTGCTCGACTGTCCTCCTTGGATTTCCTCTTTGAGTGATTTTACAATACTGCCTTTTTTCTTTTCTTTTTTCTTATTTTTCTTGTCTATAAGGGTTATTTTAGGGGGTTAAGTTTTATTCTGCTCTTGTTCTCATTGTCTAGTCTCTGTTTAAATTCCTAAAGTGCAAAAAAAAGCATGATTGAATACCCTAGTAAATGGTAAAAGCTTTGACTTTCAGCATAACACACACACCAAGACTCACACACTTGAGTGGACAGGTAACAAACATTTAGTCATCCATAATTAAAGGTCAACAGTGTGGCGCAAACAGATATTGAGAGGAAGTCTGTGTTTATGCTAATGCCTTGTCAGACAGAGAGGGCGGCGACTCTCTGACACCATCTATTAATAATGAGACAAGATTGCAGAGATTCACTGGGTATGAACCAAACAATGCTGCTTCTGGCAAACAATGGGCTCTGACAGCTGACTGAGTGCTTTGAAATTGGGCTGCGTGTGCATGCAGTGTTCGGAGGGAGTGGGGTGTATGAATGGATTTGTTTGTTTATTGATGTTTGTGTTTTGTGTTTGTCTCACAGCAGTGGTCTTGTCGGGCCTGTTTGCAAACATGCTTTTACACGAGTGGCGACAAGCCTGGAGGAAAAGCACGGACCACCGAAATGCAGGGAGAATGGGGTTGCCTGCTAGGGGACGCTGAGGCACATGGGCCCTCTACAAAAGACAAATTAAAGCATAAACATTATCATTTCTGAATACAACAATATGTGTTCAATA